TCTCTCTCTCTCTCTCTCTCTCTCTCTCTCTCTCTCTCTCTCTCTCTCTCTCGTTTGTTAATCATTGTTATTAAAACAAATGGTATTAAATTAAAAATATCAAAATAATGTATTATTTTCATTGTCTAGTCTTTCCATTTAATTAATTGAAAAATGCTTTACTCTATGATTGCATTTCTCTATACAACCAGATTCTGAGAAATACTTTTTTTACCCAAACATTTGCAGAAATTTCCACTTAATTTTCTTTCCCTCATTAACAGGATTTGCAAATCATTTGCATTTCCAGACTCTTTAAGTGCTTTCTAAGTGTAAAGTGAGACTCAATTGCTATTAATTTTATTTTTTGTTGATTGCAGTAATGGTAAGGAATTGTATTTAGTTCTGCCAAAAGACCAATTGGACAAAGCGTACAAAGATAAGGCCAATCGCACCTTCACTTCAGACTTTAAGGTATGTGTCTATCGCCTCTCTCTCTCTCTCTCTCTCTCTCTCTCGTCGATTGATTGGTAAATTGATTTTTTAATTGAATATTTTATATTAGATTCGACTGACGTTTACAAAACCGATTCAATCGTCTTATTCGCGATCTCCGGATCCATTGCGAACGGACGGCCGACTCAACGCCCACAACAACATCGCCAATGATATAAACACTCAGGAAAACGGATCCACGGATTACGACACTGACAATGACACCGACGAAGACGAGGACGAAGACGACTATGATTGGGGCGACGACGACACGGGTGGAGGCAGTGGTGGTGGGAGTAGTAGTGGTGGCGGCGGAGGCGCCGATCGGTCTGCCAGTGGAGGTTATATTCATCACTAGACATACCATTACATGCTTTCTCTGTTTGATTAGCTTTTAGTTTTCGTTTTTTAAATAATTTGTTTATTTTTAAATGACAATCAATTCATAGATTTTTTCGCAATGCTTTGATTTATGTTTCGTTTTATTATTATTATTATTAATATTGCATTTAATATCAATTTATTTCACAATTAGGTCTAAAATATTTGTCTCTTTTTTCTGTCATTTTTAGGTCAAACGACATACTTATGAGAACTAATTGATTGAATACATGTTTTTTATGTAATAATAATTGCATAGATTTTTATTAATCGTCGGATTTATGTCTCATTTGTCTATTAAATCGACTTAAAAATTGTAATTTTATTGATTGAATGAATGTTATTATTATTATTAATATTATGTCTAAACTCTTAAGTCAATTCACACACAATTAGGTTTATATATACAGTAATTATTATAATTATTATAAATATATTTTAATACATCATTACATTGAGAATCAAAATTGAATTTTAAGATATTTATATTCAATTTAATTAATTATTATTATTTAAATGAATTGTTAAAATGAAAGCATTGTTTTTCACGACACAAATTGATATTTAATTTTTAATTTAATGATTGGAAACGAAAGGAATGAACGATTGGGAGGGAAAGAGATTGAAGACAAAAGTATAGATAAATATTATTAAATATATAGATATATATTATAATTATATAACTTTCTCTCTCCTGTCTCTCCCCCTCTCTATCTGTCGATTACTTTTAATGAACGCAAACATACATTAACTGTAAATTCAATTTAAATCCACACAAAACTCCCGACTTATTGGACGCGTAAACGAATCACAATCTCTCTCCTGTCTCTCCCCTTCTCTATCTGTCGATTACTTTTAATGAACGCAAACATACATTAACTGTAAATTCAATTTAAATCCACACAAAACTCCCGACTTATTGGACGCGTAAACGAATCACACAATTGTTTTATTTGAATCTCATTTGACTATATTTTGTAAAGTAATACAAATACCGCGATATGTGTTATATAACGGAAACAAAAATGTTTAACAAAACCAACAAATAATACATTTTTATTATAATTACCATAAAGTTTGCGTTTATATAAATATAAATATATTTTAATTTTCACTAATCATTACCACAATTATTACAAAACAAAACAATACAAAACCGCAAATCCATGCCATTTCTCTCTCATCATTGTATTCACTAATTTGACAGACAAACCAAAACCCAAACACTAATACTATTAATATANGCGTTTATATAAATATAAATATATTTTAATTTTCACTAATCATTACCACAATTATTACAAAACAAAACAATACAAAACCGCAAATCCATGCCATTTCTCTCTCATCATTGTATTCACTAATTTGACAGACAAACCAAAACCCAAACACTAATACTATTAATATAAACGTCTATTTGTATAATAAGATAATGAAAAACTGAAATGAAATGATTAAAAAAAGTATTTCAAACAATCAATTTGTGTATAAATTTATTTGCGTTTAAATTTGCATTTTATTAAAGTTTTTTTGGCCATATTATCGGTTGAGGAGTGAAAGCCAAGTGTTGGTTCATATATGGAGATTCAATGTCTGGTTTTTATCGTCTTCTTTCAATGCTGTCGACTATTTTTTTGCACTGATTTTTGCAAATTATTTTTGTTGCAAATCTTTGATATTTTTGCCGGAAATGTAATCGTTTTGCGAATTGAATTTTTTTCGCGTTTAGAGATTCCCTGCCTTTTCATTAGAGAAGTGGGAAATAAGCCGTCGATTTGCATGTATTTTATTTAATTTTTGTCATCTTTACATCTAATATGTAATGCAATTACAGTTATATAGCGTTTATATAAATATAAATATATTTTAATTTTCACTAATCATTACCACAATTATTACAAAACAAAACAATACAAAACCGCAAATCCATGCCATTTCTCTCTCATCATTGTATTCACTAATTTGACAAACAAACCAAAACCCAAACACTAATACCAATATAAACGTCTATTTGTATAATAAGATAATGAAAAACTGAAATGAAATGATAAAAAAAGTATTTCAAACAATCAATTTGTGTATCAATTTATTTGCGTTTAAATTTGCATTTTATTGTTATTAAACTTTTTTTGGCCATATTATCGGTTGAGGAGTGAAAGCCAAGTGTTGGTTCATATATGGAGATTCAGTGTCTGGTTTTTATCGTCTTCTTTCAATGCTGTCAACTATTTTTTTGCACTGATTTTTGCAAATTATTTTTGTTGCAAATCTTTGATATTTTTGCCGGAAATGTAATCGTTTTGCGAATTGAATTTTTTTTCGCGTTTAGAGATTCCCTGCCTTTTCATTAGAGAAGTGGGAAATAAGCCGTCGATTTGCATGTATTTTATTTAATTTTTGTCATCTTTACATCTAATATGTAATGCAATTACAGTTATATTAATACATATATTATTAATTTTTTATGAGAGGCACTAAATTGTCTGATTTGTTGGCAAATTATGCGCTGAAAATGTCATCGGATTTGAAAATTGAAGTCCAAAAATATACTCTCGTTTTTCCTATCATTTCTTCTGATGGCTATTAATAGGAGACAACAATTTTTGTTGTTTGCCTTTTTGTTGTCATTTAAATGGTTTAGTAATAGTTATTATAAAGTTATTAATACGACTGAAGAGACTGGAAGTCCTTTCATACGAAATGTCATTACGAGAGACGAATGGAAAGACATTTTTAGCATATTTTCTCAACTATTTTTGATGAATTTTTAAATCCCTTGTTTTGCTATTTATTTTGGTGTTTGAATGCATACTAAATATAAATCTATAGATATGTCGAGAGAGAGAGAGAGAGAGAGA